AACTGATTTTGTTTATATAATAAACAGAAAAATACATGGGTGCTTAGAAACACCAGATTTATTTCTCGTGTTGAACATGATATCTCACTAGTTCGCTGCGCTCACTCGTGAGATATCATGTTCAACACTCGAAATAAATCTGGTATTTCCGCGCACCCATGTATTATTCTCCATTTATGTACCATTTAAAACATGAGCAACAGTGTTTTATCAGATTTAAACTGGATACGAGGCGAAGCCGAGTATCTTTAGGTCTGATAAAACACGCACTGCGAATGTTTTAAATTGCTTCAAAAACGATCGATCTGCATGGTAAGTTCATTGGCGAAGTAATTTTAAAAAAATACGTTGTGTAAGTCAAGAAAATGCATGAAAGTTAAAGTTTATGTAAATCAAGGCAAATCTTTGTCACATATAAAGATCCGACACGCTTATATTTCTTTGTCAGTTTCGTCATGAATTATTAATGAGTTTTTGAAGTACTATTTAAAAAACGAGCAGGAGTGTTTTATTAGGTTTAAAGCCACGAGCGCGCAGCGCGAGTGGCTTTAGACCTAATAAAACACGACCTGCGAGTTTTTTAAATGGCTTCAAAAACGTATGCATAATAAGTCAAATCTTTATATAAAAATCTTTATATAAAAATCTTTATATAGTTTGCATAACAATGGTCTTTTGTTAAAGTGTTCTTTAGCTGGTATAAAGACGTATGCACGTGACTAATTTCTTACTCAAGATTGGATAATTGCTTCATGAATTATTGAGTTTTTGAAGTTCACCTTAACAAACCCTACCCATTTCCGGTCCTGGGAATACTAAATTAACTCTATTGATACTCCAGTAAGGATCATGTCTTTTTGAACCAGGGCTGGATCCTAAACTAAACTAACTTCACTGATACTGCATGGACATCTCTATCATGATCAGTTCAAAACTGTCTTCCCTAAAGGTTACTATGTTTTAAATTAAGTAGAATACATGATATGGTGCGAAAACGATATTAAAGAACAGCTAACCAATGTCGCGTGGCTGCCAACTCTACAACTTGTACAATACTATATATAGTTTAACATTTCTAAGATTGACGAACATCTGTTCCACATAAAGTTTATCAGTGGACCTCATCACTGATGCCCATGTTTCTCGGAAAATTATAATACGATGTAGTGCGATGAAACGAGAGTCACCTAATTCCATTCAGAAAAAGGATATCCCATTTTTTAATGTTGAAACACTCTTTCTAGAGCGTGCCCAGTATAGGTCAAGTGTTACGATGGCATATCGTTCAAATTGTTTTCTTAATACTAAATAAGAAATAAAACAGCGAGGGATTTGCAACAATCTTCTTAACGGTGCATATCACCGCCATAAATCATAAACATGCAATTGCACGGCTAGGTTTTGCCAAGGGCAAGGTGAATAACAAACTACAAAAGCTTTATCAAAATTCTCAAGACAGATTTGATGATCCATATATGGGCCACGGCATCTATGTTAACTGATTTCATACAAAAACTGGGAAATCCAATGGCTGTCAACATGCTATCTCAAAACTGATCGGAAATTGCCATCAAACGTTTGCCATGCGATTAATTTCGGTACAGTGCCATAATCGTTTAAACAAACAATCTACTAATTTTCAACTTCTTAAAACCCCAAACTAAAATATTTTATCTAATTGAGCTGAGTTCTAACTAAATAGCTAATAACTTATTCAGTCTAACTGCAAATAAATATTATTACTATTATTATTACTAGAAGTTATGTTATCCCCCTGATTCGAAACAAATATCAAACCAGTATCAAGATCATAAAGCGGTTAACATAATTGCTAATGTTTGCTTTTAAGTGTCAAAATATTCAGATAGCAACATTATTCATAGCAACCTTAACATTTCTGAGTGACTTCAAACTGTGTATGCATGTAGTTGTGATCGATGCTTTGTCCCAAAAATTAAACATAGGTCAATTGAAAATCAAATTTTACTGCAAAAGGGCAAACTGTCAAAGGATGCATGGTCTTGAATAACATAATTTGCAAGAACAGATACATGTACATAATCTAAAATCCTGGTAGTCTGGTATCCAAAACCGAGAAATGCTACCTTTCATGCCATGGGACGATACTTTCAGTATAAAAAAATGCGTCAATTTAAAACTATAGTCTATAAATGGTTTCCCATGGATGGAGTGACCATTCGAGTTCTCTATGTGAGACTAGGCATGATGGTCAACCTCAAACGTATTGACAGTTATATGGGTGATCACTAGCTGGAAAACATTTTGAAAGTCTACAGAATGGAAATTGTATGGACCTTTATTGGAAATAGAATGGATTATTGATTATCCATAATAATTGTATATTTCATACTATGGATATTATATAGTATAGAAATATAGTATGGATATACCAATGATTTAGTGGTGCAATTGCAAATCTCATGGTATAGCCTTTTCCCCAGTGGCAGTGATATAGTCACTCTGATAGCTATCAGGATTTTGGCCGTCTTGCTCGATATAGGCGGTATAACTAATTGTTGAAGAAATTTGTAGATGGATAGCCTTTCTTGACCACCATGTGCAGAGCTGCCAAGTCTCACGGTTTACCCGTGAGTCTCCGCAGTCTCACATGTGGACTTACATATCTCGCGGTATTTCAGGAAAATGAATTTAATTGATCACTCAAATTCGGCATCTTCAAGTGAATGCAAGACCCAGGAAATATACGATTAAGAAATATATACATGACTGCATGTTTTCTATAAGTGTTTTCTATGAAAAATGGTAGAAGGCAACAAACAAATATCTGCCAGGGGCGTATGCCACTTTCGAGTGAAAGAAATAGAATTCTAAAGACCAAAGAAAACACAAATTTTCGCATTGGAGGCATGCCAATGAAGTGCACAATGATCATGTTCATCCCCTCATTCTGTTTACACCACATGGCCTCGACCTCCAGGCTTTTAATAATCTGAATTAACTTGGCAGTTCTGCATGTGCTGTGTGTCACGTAGCAAAACTCAGTGGTGTATAAAGATAGTTCTTATATTGGGTTCCAGCAATAGACCTTTCCCCTTTTGAGTGAAATTTTGATCTAGACAAGTCTGGGCAAAAATTTCATCACAGCTTGAAAGAGCATCACAAGCTTCGTTGCGAAATGTTGTAAAATGCGGATAATATATCCTTGCGAAGTTTCCGTTCTTCAGTCATTTTGTATTACAAATGGGAAATTGATAATCAGATGGTCAAACTGATTACCAATTTCCCATTTGTAATACAGAATGACTGAACAACGGCAAACTTCGCAAGGCTATATTATCCGCATTTTACAACATTTCGCAACGAAACTTCGGAATATTACTAATTTTGTGATGCTCTTTCAAGCTGGGATGAAATTTTTGTCCAGGCATATCTAGATCAAAATTTCACTCATAAGGGGAAAGGTCTATTAGTCCGATTAGTGTCTTTTGAAGAAGGGACTTAACCGTACGTTGAAACGAGGTTTAACCCGCAATTTTTATACAACATGAAATCCGCAACGTTAAACATCGACAAGCTGCTGCAAAGTTAATTACAGTTTCAGCACATATACGTTAGAAGTTGAAACTGGTCGATATAACAAGATTTCTTACTGCGTAGAGTATGCAAACATTGTCATTGTAATCTGAATGAAGTTTGTTTGGAATGAACAACATTAGTCATTACCTATAATATCATGCAGAATTGCAGTGTTCGCAATCCTATATAAGGAATAATTTCATTGGGGGCTTGTTCAATTTACAATTGAGTTATTCATTTTACAAGACCTATATAGAGAATAATACATGGGAGCGCGGAAATACCAGATTTATTTCGAGTGTTGAACATGATATCTCACTATATAAATCACTTATGTTTATATAATAAATTTCAAAATGTTATTGCTATATGCAAGATAAAAATATTTTTAAAATTTCTTCCAAACACTGTTCATGATATTTATCAACATTTGATCTATAGTACAATCATACAATTAGACATATTTAATATGTAATAAACGGTATATGAAGTGTTATCTATTATCTTGTAATTTTTTGTATCTTTCGGACCTCTTTTGGTACTTTGTTTGGAATAAATTATTATTAATTATTATTATTAATTATCCAACATTTTTGGACGATGTTGGACTTTAACTTGAAATAGCGAACTACAGAAAAGCTATTTTATGGTGGGGGGCCCAAAAAATCATTATCGCATCATTTCCAAATAACTTTCCAAGTTTATGATTATACAATCTACAAAAATATAAGTAGATCGTGCACCCCCTAAAACTGATATGAAATCTTAACAAAGGGAGTTCAATCCTCGTCTTCTACACCCTAAGTTTAACCCACCTTCATTATTAGCACTTATGTATGAAAAGATCTGGGCTTAATTATGAATCGATTAATGCCTTGCAAATTAAACCAAACATTTTCACTCCCACAAAACAAAGCAGTTATGTTTATAAAATCATGCAGACTTACAGGATCATCGGTACTCAGGTTTTTAAAATAGTTGCGGCATTGTCGACTAGAAATAAAAGCGCTCTCTAATTCCTAGCTTAAATGCGTTTATAATCCTTTGGCCGACTAAACTGTTTTTCCAATCTCATGCAAAGAGATAATTAAGTGGAATACAAAGTATAGGCCTATTGTGAAATACCGCAAATAAAATCCTTATCAGCTCTAGCATGTCGTACGAGTCTACAAATCTACCCTAAAATTTCATTTTTTACTCCCTCGAATGCAAAGCTTTCCATTTACGGCCAGTTTAGACGTTTAGTAAACCTCTGGCTGGAAAATTAGCATAACTTGTCAATATCAATGTCACGAGGGTTTAACGTCTTTCGATTTAAAATAACTTGGAATGCTTAGCATCTAACGGATTAGCGTTGATTGACGGTTTTAATGACAGGTCACAATGCGCACAATATGGACTTAAAAGCGCGCCGTGTTGCAAGAAAGATTCAGTTCGACCTGCCCTTGTGACAAGAAACATCGAAAAGGTTAAGAAGAGGAAAAATTTAAAGAGTTGCAAAAGATGGCTTTATTACATCTGCAATTATTGCTGTTGTTTGGCTGTTTCCTTCAAACAAGCACATTGCAACCTGCTCGAGGTTTGTATAGTGGAACTAGAATTAATTCTTTAATAGCTTTATTCATCAATTACAACTTCAATTTCCGAATCAGGTTAAAAAATTGTTGTAATCTGGACAACGAATCTGAGCCACAAACAATTACTAGATCAACTTGTATTATCATGGTACTATTGTCGCAAATTTAGAAAACCCTTACCCAATTGGCAATTGAATTTTTACCAACAACTCCTGGTTAGGTGAAATAACACTCGGAATTTCCATCTACAAATTCTCGCAACAATTAGTTCTACTTAATGAGATGAAACCGTTTGTTGATTATACCTCACGACATAATTGAAGCAATTGTAGTATGTTCAATATTGTTGTGGGAGGCAGATGGGGGATTATGGAGCAATTTATGGAGAATTATTGCAGTTGTAGTAACCTCGAAGAGGAAATTCTTTCATTGAGTGTCGCCGATGGCTTTGCCAGAATTGTAGCTATAACTTGTCTTTTCAAGTGCTTAATTGATTTATTCAACAACGTCCGAATCACTTTTAAAACGATCAATTGAACATTGCGGCGCTAAATGCTGTGGGCTGTGAAAGAAAAACAATTTTATGTTGGTAAATAAGCTTTTAATTTGAGTCTACTTTTGAGAAACACAATCTGGCCGTAATTATCTAAACTTGCTTTATTCGACAATTTCCGAATCAGGTTTAAGAAGAATGAGTATTATAGAGCTGAACGCTGTGCGCCAGTGCAATGAAAGCATTTCTGCATTTGCAAATAGGAAAAGCTTTGTAATTTGAACCTAAATTTCGATCCTAAGTTTTATTGAACAATTTCCTTATGATTACTTGCCCACTTCCGAATCAGGTTAAACAAAATTATGTTGGTTGGAGCTTGCGCGCGCGCGCCATGATATAGAAAAACAATTTTATGTTTGTACATAACAAAGCTATCAATTTGAACTTAATTCTTAGAAGCGACGAAGATATTTAAAAGTAATTATTTTGTGTACACAAATACAGTGGCAACAGCTTGAACGCGATTAGCAGCGAGATCAGCACGAAAAAGAGTTTCGTCCGCTATGAACCACAGAGTACAAGGTCTTATACTTTGTGTGGAAATTACTTTGGTATAAGAAAAGTTAAAAAATACACGTAATGTAGAGTATATACTAGTATGCGAAAGATACAAACGGTATGGAATACAGAACACACGGTTCTGTTTAGATTTTACAAAAGGTTAACTTCAGTTGCTTTTAAGAATAATTACAGATGAAAATCAGTACAAGGTTTGTCACTGAGTTCAATGACCATCAGTCTTGCAATCGTGAGGTTACCGGTTCAATTCCATTGTGGGTCTCTGGCTCAGGGTTGTTTTCCTGCAACAGCTACAAGCAAAACAAACACATTATTTTCTATTGCAGTTGTTTGCGATTTCTGAACCCTTTTACTTAGTCAAAGAATGCTTTATAGGACGCACTTTTCCAAACCCAATTTGCATAATCTGCGCTGGTTATTGTTTCGTCATTTCATGACCCGCAAACACGTTATCTAATAATGATGACGAGCTGCTAGACAGCAATAATAGACAAACTCAGCAAGACATTTTGCACACCACGTTGGTCCGAGCTTAGTTGAATGATCTGAAAATGACTAAAAGCCAACTAAAATATTTTTCACCCAAAAATGAATTCCAACATCGCGTGATCTTGACCTCACATAATCGTACCGCAAACAAAAGTTCAGAATTTGCGCAAAGACAATGGACACCCTCCTGGAAGCGCTCGCTTTTAATATAGCTCGCCGCGCAAAATGCTGATTTATAAATATATTGACCTCTGCTAAGTTCAAGACTCAAGTATCAATGAATTCATGTCAACAAAATGATACTTGTTACTATTAAAGAACCGAAACTAATCTCTAACTAGCCTACGTGTCTTTGAGTTTATTGTATATTGATTATTGAGTTTCCCACCCATTGGTGAGCGGATTTTCCAACACTAACAGGCTATTGCCAAATTGATAGGGGATCCGAGGTATCCACGATATTAAAACGTCCTTATCCAATAACCATTTATTAATGTCAATGTAAAGGTAGCACTTTCTCCCAGACATTCCAACTCTCCCGATTTTACCGGGAGTCTCCCGAAAATTCATGCAATCTCCCGATCTCCCGATTTTTCAGAATATTCAGGAAATATCATAAAAAAATATAAATATACTGTTTTTAGCAACATAATAGTCTGTCTCGGACCTTTTTTGAAGTTACTTTATGGCAATTTATAGGATCATTTATAACAACATAGTCCCAAAATGCAGGAAACGCCATTTCAGAAGACTTAATTTTTATTATTTTTTCCCAGAAGAACTAGATTTCAATTCACTGAAATTCCCTAAATTTTACCTCCAGTAGTTGGAATGTCTGTTCTCCTCAACTATTTTACTCATGAGTAGAGGTCCGACCAAGCATTGAACCAATTAGATTTAACCAGGGTCTCACGGCTTGAAAGGCAAGCGTGGTGACAATGATACCACAAGGACTCATGGTTAAAATCAATAAATACACAATCTAGTAAATTTAGTACGATGCAATATTACAGAGTCACATACTGAAATCTTTAAAATCAGCTCGACAATTCTGTATTGTTTGCTATCCCAGGATTGGCAGGAATCCGACTCAAAGTCTCTGGTTTAACATGACTACTAGTATTAGGACGCACAATTGAGACACTCTGAAATTTATAATATGTTTAAAACGCAGATTACACAGCACGTGTACGACAAACACAAATAGACTGCGTAGCAGGACGAGGCAGGCTGATCTGCCTAAGTCTAAGAATGTCTCAGCAGTATAGTACCGTGTGATGCCACTTACAAAAAAGTTCAGCCCGGTGAGTCACGGATAGGTAACTTTCCTAAAACATTGCTATTGGTTTATAGTCGGCAGAAGGACCAGATTTATGAATAAACGTTGGACGAACACAGTCACAGATAATGATTATATTGTTTTTCTAATGCGTTTCATAGCCATCTTCCCTTCGATAAGCTATGCTTCAACTAATGTGAATAAGCCAATTCACGCAACTACAATTTACGCGACTCAGAACGAGACTTGAACTATAATAACATGCAACTCTGAAACTAGAAGAATTTGAATATGCGCATAAAAGTGTTCAACTGTTCAATCATCAATAGAAAATATAATCTTTAGTGGACCTTTCTTTATTTTGCTCCACAAAGAAAGCAAAATATGCTAGTACAAAAATTATTTGAAAGTTCTACAGTATTATAAGTTCTTTGTAGGTTTGCATGGCGATAAAAACACATAATACTATTGTTTGTGGAAACACCACGTAAATTTATTACTGCAATTTTTCTACAGTATTGTGGCCATAAGTGGATCGACCTTCCAGTCTAACAACTTGTCATTTTGCGCAGTCGACTCTCAATTGATGATTCCCCTTATTACGTTTTCATAGCGCTTTGCATTGTGGTTATAGTGGTATAACTGATAAAGGTGGCGGCCTCGAATGAAAATATTGAATGTTTTCGCGAATATTTTGCTGTTGGCTATCGCGCACCTGACCCTAGCTTTTTTTAAAAGTTCTTGCACGGGTCAGGACAAAAAATAAGCCATCTTAAATATCAGTGATACCACTATAACCACAATGCAAAGCGCTACGAAAACGTAATAAGGGGAATCTAGTATTGGCTAAAAATCTAAACTCAGTGGTTAAGCTCATTTGCATGTTAGGTTCGGCGCATGTAAACTTCCACGTTTAAACCAAGGTTCTAAGCTTTACAGGAGATTATCCGAAGAGAAAACAAAACCATTCAGCATCAATTGTTTAACAAGGCGTTGCAATAACATTTTAAAATGTTTATGAAAATATTTTTAGCATTTTATCTTCTAGTTTTTGTGGATCTAAGTACATCTTATGTCACTTACATTATGCCTTAATTCAATTGCATTTTGGACTGTATTAACGAGTTAAACGTATTAACAGATAAATATACATGCATGCATGCATGGATTAAAACACAAACCAAAACCAAGAACGACATCACATGCATTGTTGCTTTGCATGCAAATAAATAATAAAATAAATTTAACTCATCTTTAGTTTACAGTTTAAGAAAAAATTCAATGCAAGCAAAGAAACCATATTACGTCCAGAAAGCCAGCTTGCATTAATTTCCATGTCGAAATGAAACAAACAACCTAATTTACTTAGAACCCCGCTAAGTTTCTTAATGCCTTGAATTTTTTCCAAACCAAAAAAGTTGGCAAGAATTAAAAACTCCCGTGTGAATAGCGGGACATCATTGAGCACTTATATTCAATTAATGAATAATCAAATTTAAATTGTCTATTTCCAGAACAATCTCAGGCATCCGATGCAGGCAGTATTCTACATTTATACATGAAATTAAGACTAAAAACACGTCTCCCTTAATAAGGGGGGAGTACACCTGAAAAATAGGGCGATATAAAATGTTTTATATTTGCACAAGGTTACATCCAAACCCCCACAAACTATATATTAGTAGAAAGCTTAGAACCTGGAGATTCAGAAAAAAAAAATTTCAAACAGTGAAAAGCTGTATTAAGGTGGCTCTGCACCGTTCATCAAATTTTCGGTTTAGCTTTATTCAAGAAAAGATTGCACTAGCTGTGTATTATGAAATTTGATTATTTATACATTTTTTAAATACTTACATAGGGATGATTGTTTTAAGCATAGAGAATTTTGATTGACAAAAAAGAAAAAAAGTTATGGGTTTGGGAAGTTAGGCGTCAAATTTTTAAAAGGTAAAAATTGTAGTAACTTTTGATATTTTTACTCAATCAAAAATCTCTATGCTTAAAACACAAAGCTAAGTGAGAGGAGCATTCTCTGAAAATTTCAGTGCAATCCAATAAATTGTTATCGAGATATCTTTTCTCAAAGTCTAAAATATCCGAAAATGAGAAAAATGAGTTTAAAGTCTCTTGTATCGAAAACACTTGATTTTTCATACATTTTGAAAATCTTAAGCCTGGATAATTTAAATCCTACCATTTACTTGGTGTTTTAAAAAGTTTTGTTACAGTTTAAAATCCTCTAGCCTCTTTATGTCACTCCTTCAGCTTCCCAAATAGCTTCTTCCCGTTGCGTTCAAATCAGTTTCTCTCCTTGGCGTCGTTTCTTCTCTTTTTCAGTTGCCTGTAAAATCAGATTTCTTCATTCGCTGCACATCGATCTTGCATCACAAGCTTGTTTTGTTTTACCCCCAGAGTGAATGGACAGCTGTTTCATAACACCAAGTCGACTCTTTGCTCCAATATGGAAGTGGGGGGATAGCGGCAGCTACAGGACATCGCACTGCTTTGCGGCCATGTTGTTTATGCTTTGGATACTTAGCCCAAGCTAGAGCATTCAAACTGCCATTTTGTTTTTCAGTTGTGCCAAGAACACACCTTTGAAGCAACTGTGTTTGACTAAGAGAAATGACCAACACTCCACTTTCATCTTCTTCCAAAGTTAAATTTCCTAAAGAAATGTTCATTAACATTTTTAAAACAATTGACACATATATGTACTGTATATTGCAACTGTTTACATGTTACACTTGCAACTGTTTGCATGTTACACAACAAATATATACAACTTTTGTTGCAGAATAGATATAAAAGGAGTTTGCAGGAGTACAATTTAAACCATATGTTATATTAAACCAGTTTTGAAGGATAAGGTATAAAACACAAAGGGCAAATTCTTACCTTCCTCACACATGTGTTGAATATTTGAGACAGCATAATTGGATTGGCAGCCTGTATTCGGGGATATTTTCTTCGGTATAATTATCACTATTGTCATTTCTGATTTCACATCGTAATTTTCTTGAAGTTCCAATAACATTATTTTGGTTTGAGCCATCAACATTGTCTATTTGGAGATTCACACGTGGGATCATCATTACTCATATTTTGATCTCGTCTGGAGTCACGATCTTGGTGTCTTTGCTTACCAGAAAACCTCTTTCCCTTCCTTTTTCGCTTGTATTAAGAAGATCTACTCTTCGTACCGGTTATTGTTATGATTTGAAGAAAAGAGATACATTTCTTGGCCTTCAATTCGCATTGTTTTTGCTTCAACATGCATCGACGTACACAATTCATTGCATCAACAAATATCAGACTCAAATTCAAACAGGAGCCCGCGATGTAATAGCAATGCAGGGACGTCATGTACCACAATATATAGTGTACTTGCTATACACATGCTAATTTGGGCAGTTTCAGCCGAACAATGGGCAAAAAATATAAAAGAGTAATTTTAACCCATAATCGCTACTCTTCACGTTACCATGACAACATGACGTCACCATCTATATGGCCGATATCAACCAAAAAAGCCGTCTTAGTGGACAAATAAGCACGGTGACCTACCTTTTTTATTGCAGAAAATACATTGTTATGAAGTTTTGAATCTTTTTTGAAAATTATTTGAAAATCGCCAGTGTAATTTTCAAGAAACTAAATTTCAGCCTTTAAATTCAGTTTCTCGAAAACTACACTGGCGATTTTCAAATAACTTTCAAAAAAGATTCAAAACTTCATAACAATGTATTTTCTGCAATAAAAAAGGTAGGTCACCGTGCTTATTTGTCCGCTAAGACGGCTTTTTTGGTTGATATAGGCCATATAGATGGTGACGTCATGTTGTCATGGTAACATGAAGAGTAGCGATTGTGGGTTAAAATTACTCTTTTATATAAGAGGAAACAATCGCTTGGGCAAAAAATCAGTTTTTTTTAAATTCAAATTAATTAAATAGGTTTTAGTTTAAAACACTGACATATATTGGAAACTGTAGGGAGCCTCCTTAATACTATAGCTTTCTTCATGCACGATACAACTCTAAACCGTTTCCCCCTAGTCCTAGAGATCCAGTAAGGGTCATCTCTGACTTATTGATCCAGTGTTACTACAGGAGGAAGCACAAGCTAGACTAACTTTGTTTATATTGGATAGCTCTATCAGTTCAAAATTGTTCTCCCTAGAGGTCCACTAAGGATAATCTCTTGTTGGTCCAGTGTTGCTATAGGACGAAGCATAATTAACTAAACTAAATTTAGTTGTACTGGATAGCTGTATCAGTTCTAAACTGTTCTCCCTAACGGTCCAGTAATGATCATCTCTTATTGCTCCAGTGTTACAACAGGAGGAAACCTAAACTACATTAACTGTATTTATACTGGATATATCATTTCTAAACTGTTTTCCCCAGGAATCCAATACGGGTCATCTCTTACAAGTACAGTGTTACTACAGGAAGAAACATGAATTAAAATACTAATTCTAACTTTGTTTATGCTGGACAGTCTATACCAGCTCTCATCTCTTCTTCCTATTGAGACCCAGCTGTAAGGATCATCTCTTAAAACACTGGAGTAACAAAACCTGTAGTGTTTGGTAGAGTCAAACTCGAAGGACTCTTTCCACATGCATGTTGTGACTGAAGCGAAGACAAGTATAACCACACATTGCAGTAATCGAACCCTTGTTATGGCCATGTGAAAGGCACGTGCACTGACCTGCGCTACAATAGTAATGGTTTTATAATCTTTTAGCAGAAGTACAGTACGAGGACCATACAGATCCCTTTCCGGCGGAAGACAGAATTGGTAAGCGCTTAGGTTTACAGTTGGCAATAATTTTAGGATTTATGGACTGGATTTAGATTAGATTTAATTTGGGAAGAGATTCATGGATTAATTCTAGGATTATAGGATTAGGCGAGTGTGTGGTATCAAGTTGAGCGGTTCCACCACAGCGGGCACCACTGATATCGAGTCACAAGAGCACAAACCCTGGGTATGAGCATACGAGGTTAAATGAAGCCAGAGGTCAGATATTACTAATGACGAAACCGATAACCGCCTTAATTAAATATTGAAACGTTTTGAAACGAGATTTAAGTTAGACTCGAAACTCATAAAATCACCAGAAATTTTACTACCTGCAATGGACCACCATGATTGAGATAACTTTTAATTTAGGTAATTCGGACACTAATCAAGGAAGCTTATTGTAGAATACTACCTACACAGAATCACTATGTTTGAGATCATTTTTCAGGTAGTTCAGACACAAACCACGACAGTTTATTGCAGAATACTACCTACACTGGACCACTAAGTTTGAGATATCTTTTTCAGGTAGTTCAGACACTAACCACGACAGTTTATTGTAGAATCCTACCTACACTGGACCACCACGTTTAAGATATCTTTTTCAGGTAGTTCAGACATTAACCATGCACGACAGTTTATTGTAGAATTTTACCTACACTGGACAACCATCTTTGAGAGATCTTTTAATTTCCAGGTAGTAATAGGCACAAACCCCGGACAATATTCTAACTCAGTTTTGTCCCCTTATATCAACTCTCATATTCCACTGTTAATATACGATAGAGGGTAACATATTAAACAAAATCAATTTTAATTTCCAGATTGCGAAGATCGAATGAAGGACGCAAGGAGGTGTGTATTTGAAAAGGCAAGAAGAGGTTGTCGAAGTCAGCTGATGCAAACATTTTGTGCCAAGACTTGTCACTTTTGTCGTAAGTATAATACTTTTATGTAAGTTCAATGGCTTTCGCTAATAATTTCAAAGCCATCCTCCAGGGCAGTCGCTAAGGGGAGAGGGCGGGGTGTTGGAGTGTCACTCCCCCCCCCCCCGCCCACGAAAATTAGTTTTCATATGAAAGGTATCTGTCGGTTGTAAACTCGTAGACGACAGAACGTCGGTATTTTGTGGGTGTGGGATCTTTCATAGAGACATGCTTTTTTTATGTTTTTAAGTACAATGTTTTTCGGAGCTTTTTTTAAATGTTTTTTACAATGATTTTTTAATAATGTTTATTTTTCAACCTATAGATAAAAAAGCTCCTGCCCCTCCAAAAGTTGTGGACTGCAAAGAAACGACATATGGGTGTTGCTGGGACGGCGAGTCAACCCAAAAAAGTTATGATGGGGAAGGCTGCCCTCCTTGTGAGGATAACAGAATATTTGCTGCCTTATGTGGCATATGGGAAAAACATTGTCATAATACATCCAATCCTATTGAACATAATCTAGTCAAGCAGCAGTGTCATCGAACATGCAATAACTGTTTCAGTAAGTTGAAGTATATAGTTCTCATTAATAAGGGGTGTACAGTAATCGTTTCTTAGCTGAATGCTACATTATGAAGGACGCAGTGACCGAGTCAAAACTGGCTCTATAAAAGACGTCTTTTGTTCCTAAAGTTTGTTGCAAATGAAAACGCTGTTTTGGTGCAATTAACTTCTTTAAGAGTGGGATTTGAAACAGTACTATTGATAATTTAATGATCACGAATCATATGAAAATTAGGTGGTTTCTAGGGAACCCGCAGTATTTTGCAGATGTTGAAGGGTTTAGTTCCATCGGGTGAGATGGCCAAAATCATGATATTCACTTGAATCAGCTTAGTATATATAACATAAGCTCGACAACTCACCTCTGTAGCTCAGTTGGTTAGAGCGCTTCACCGGAATCGCAGGGCGGCAGATTCGATTTCTCCCAGAGGGGCTTAGGTCTAAATATGTATAAAATTCTACAAAAATCCTACAACATGTGGTTCTATTGAATGAGGTGCCCAAAATCCTGGAGTTGGTAGAATCTACGTTGGTCATTTTATTTGAAAATGGGGGGGGGGGGGAGTTAAGGTATTCGGCCAGGACTAGGAATCAAACAGCTGTCACAGAGGTGAAAGGCATATGGACTAACTACTACACCGTTATTAAAAAGTACATCATTAATTATATGTTTTCTTATTTTTCAGTTCCCAAATCAACAGAACAAACTAAAGTGACCAAGACGCTCCCCCCTGCTATCGGTCATTTCGCCAACTCGGATGACTCCCCCCGGCGTGGAGCTATTTATGTTTGGACGAAACTTGTGAATCCTTTCGCCACATATGATAGACAATAATTTGACTATATATAACACACGAGGCATGGCCTCAGGGGGTGGGGTTGGGGGGGGGGGGGTTGGGCTGGGGCAAAGTCTGCTGTAACGAACTCTCCATATAACTGGAGTTACAGTTCGTAGATACATGCACATATAGTCTATGAAGATATGATGGTCTGGAAGCCCGGTAAAGTTCAAAGCCACAAAAAAGAAGGCGCTCTTTACATGTTGAACTGCACCTCACCATACACAAATCTTTTGTCTCAACTCCATTCTTTCCAGACCATCATATCTTGATAGACTATGATGCACAGAATTTCCTTGACAAGTTCTTTGTAGTGTCCAATTGTGCCTTTTGGTCTTTGGAAGACCACGCAAGGAAGTGAAATTGTCGTCCTATATAATATTCGCTAGATTTGGTTTCACTTTGCACAATTACACATGACCTCTTACAGACAAATTGTTTTAAAGATGATGTACAATCCCGCTTGCGCATGTGCGAGATTTTGTTGATATTAAAGTGCGTTCACAGCGTTACACTGCTTTATATCCTGTATTACAAAGCACTTACACAGCTGGTGATATAAATTAAAGGGAAATAACAATAAAAACTAAGCTTCTTCCATATGGTAGAGGGATTCAATATATTTCTGTACCTTTTTAAAGGTTTTCTGTATCGTTCTTGGTATAAAATATATTACACTTCATTTCAAACAAAACATTATGCATTCCGGCATCTTGAATATGCATATCCATCGTCGGGGGCACACTGAGTGAGGGGCATCGCAATCTTCATATCAGGGAAAAAAGGAATGCGGCTATTGGGGGGTAAATTCAAGTCCCGGATGTGTACTCATGATCCCATTGGTGGGGAATTTCAATTTAACCAATGAGAGCATGATTTTATATCCGGGACCTCAATCTGCCCCCCATTAACTGCGTTCCCAAATTTTATCCTCGATGCCTTTTCTAATGTAATTTATAATCTCGACGGTTGGATATGCGTGACGTCACAACCAGGGTAACATTATTTTGCATCTTGAGCAACTCTGAGGTCATTTCAATGATAAATCCAAATTTTTTACTATTGCCTATTCTAAAATTAAAACACAATTATATATATTTTTTAAAATGCCTAGTTGTGACGTCATTTAATTCGATCCAATTATAAAACAAGATGGCTGATGGCAGGATATTTTGGTTTTCAAATTTCTCGAAAACTAAGACAGTTTGGGAGAATCTATAGAAAGGATTTGTAAATAATCTTAACATTCTTTCAAAGGGTTTAGCAATTTTCGAGATATCTGTAATACATTTTTGTGTAGAGTTTGCTCAGGGAAATACGATTGTACATCATTTTTAATTATTGGCCTTTTCAAAAAAACTGATTCTGATAAATTACCCCAAAGTACATACGGGTGTAAATGGGGCTTGGATGACGGCTTATAAAGTGCGTGCTAAAATGTCCCCCCGCATGTCAATGAACTTTCTATAATGTACAGTATGTCAGTATATATTAAAACTATATAGTACGAGTAAAATAGACTAGCTTAAAACTTGTAATCTAAAAATAAAATTTGAAATAAAATAGTAGTTTTGCGTATACTGTTTGCCTGGTCTGTTTCACTGGTTAACCTAAGATAACCCTATTCGAGTTAACTTAAAGGGAAATGGCAATATAATTTTTTATTTTCTTTATTGAAAGAACTTTTGAAACTATTTAAGAGGCAAATTTTTCAATGTCACGTATTTGCAATGAAAAGTGTTCAAAACCTAAAATCTTTTTGGCGTTCCTCTCAAAATTACTTTGTTTTAGCTTTATTCTCTAGTTTATACAGTTAGCTACCTTTTAAAATGCATCTTCCGGTTGAGAAACATCAAATAATAGTTAAAAATTGTCAATTAAAATACAATTATCAATGATGCTTTAAAATTGACGCCATATTTACAACCATATAAGCAAAGCTTACAGAAGAGAAAATGATGTCTGAAGTTCAGTAAGCTGCTTACTGAATTTCAGACATAATTTTCTCTTTGGCGTATCATCTAAAATCTCTTCATTTTAGTATTATTTTACAGATAAAGCACTAAACATACTTTTTAAGTTTGTTTGCCGATTGAGAAACGTATCGAAAAATAAAAATTTTGAATTTAGTCATAACCTCAAGTGGAATATTATACGCATTAGTTTTGAGCGCGTGTTACGTAACATACAAAAAATCTCCTCTTAATAACTTCTTTTACCGATTCTTTATGTTTTGTTAGTTCTTAAAATATTTTCACTTGAAGTAATGAGATGTCCGCCATCTTGGATACATTTTTGATCGGCATTAACGGTAGTTTTGGTGACGTCACAACAGGGATTAACCATCTAAAAGTATTCGTTGCTGACCAAATATTGATTGGTAGATGTTTTAAAGGTTTTAAGTGGTCTTGATATTTCCAAGGGCATACAGAGTATAATTTTGGCAAAATGATTTATAGTTGTCTAGATAAAAATATTCCGTGACCCCTGTTGTGACGTAACATCCATATCTACAAAAATCCAAGATGGCGGACATTTAATTTCGTTCGATTAAAATATTTGTAGAACTAGCAAGATATGAAAAAAACCGGTAAAAGTCTTATATATGGTTTTAAATGTTCTTTCAAACGAAAAAATAAAAAAATATATTGCCATTTCCCTTTATAGGTGGAGCTTCACCTAGTTAATCATGAAAATACATAAAATTTGGACCATCATAATTTCGCAGATTTTTAAATCCAATATGCAGAACCTATATATTTCTAAAATTTGCAGCTAGATGCCGAGACAACTTGATTTTACAAGCAATATACAGCTAATTCAAAAAAGGTTGTCCTTCAAAAAATCTCAGACCTTAAATTAAACATTGAGCACGCAAGACATGATAGGTATTACTTATTTGAACCCTTAGATTGGGCATTGGTTTAGTGAACCAAATAGCCCCGCATCGAAAGTGCTCATTATATGCCCTAACATTGTTGCTAAGCAAATTTTCCACGTTTAAGACTCTAAATAGTGAATTATCCGTTATCATGAGTTGCCCTTATCGCGCTCAATGTTTAAGGTTTAAGATTTTTGGAGGACAATCTTCTCCGGCGAATTAGCTGTATGCCCCCCACAAAACCTCACATACTCATTGCATTTTTTAAGGATTCATCAGTGGTGGGGCAAAACTTCCAAAGGGCCCATTTTTCTCGCCCTCCCTCCAGGTTAGCCGAGTGCCGCAGGCACAAGTTAGCTAGGGGGGTCTGGGAGCATGCCCCCACAGGAAATTTTAAAAATTTGGGTCCCTGAAATAGCATTTCCTGCATTCTGAGAATACATTTAAAAAAATCTTAGCTAATTCTGAAAACAAATAGTAAAAATAGTAAAATTAATAGTAAAATTTGTAATAAAGTTCCACGCTAAACATTAATTCAAACACAACATAAGTTCAGGGGCGTAGGAACCGGGGGAGGGGGCACGTGCCCCACCCCCGATTTTTTCAAAGGACTAAAAGTGCCCTTTTTGTGATGAAAAGTGCCCTTTTTGCCGATGAAAAGTGCCCTTTTTGTACAAGCTAATGTCGCTGTAAATTAACTAAATTAACATCGTTTTTGTTTGGAAATTTCCAAGTTTTTAAAAAAAATTTGGTCAAACCCCTCCCCGTCGCCAACATTTCCGGGAAAGATTTTTTAGGTGCCCTTTTCAATACCCTAAAGTGCCCCTAGAAGCCGGTGTCCCCCCAATCTTTTGATGTAAGTTTAACTGTTTAAGTATATGTTCACCAACAGTTTAAGCATTAATTATCATACAAATTACTAAGATGTACTTGTACGTATATCTAATTAAGTAACATGTGTGATTTTAGTGACATTTCCCACTATGAGCATAAAAAGATAAAAAATGTATCATTTTAAACTTCTTTTACTCAATACAGGTCCTAGGGCCCTGGCTTTGGGGCAATAGGCTATTTTTTTAGTAGTGGGGCAGAGAAGGGGCCCATGAAGTGGGGTAAATGCCCACCTGTCCATGGTATTAAAAAATGCCTTGCACATACTATGTCATGCCTCCAAAAGCACCATATAATATCTAAGATGTTGATCTGTGTCCCAATTAGCGTTTTTTGTTATTCATTTTGGTTGGCTAATGGTTGCATGCTATGGTACTTTTACTACAACTCCTGTTATAGAAAGTAGATATAGAAAAAATGGGTAATAGGAGCATGCTAGATGCCTAAAGCTAGACCTGTGGCTGTTCCAATGAGAAATGTTGGGGGAGCTTTTTACGGTATCAATACAGACTTCGGTTAAAGGTGATGTAAAGTCCTTAATGTAAACAAACGCTTTGTTTACATTTTGAACTCACTGCTACAGTTGTAAAATATGATTAGATATATATTATACTGAATTTTTAACACTTTTCTGGTTCGTTATGCTTGTAAATGAATACAGACTAGAGATTCAATTCAAGAAAGTTCGGAAGGTGCGAAATATTAACAACATTCCAAAGGTTGCTCCCAACACCGCGGAAAAACGTCTGCGCATGCGTCAACCTTACCTGTAATAGTATTGCGAACTTGATGAAAAGCTGTTCCGAACGTTTTCGAAGGCTCAAAATGGCGGTAAAAAGGAGTGACTTCATTGTGCGCCTTTACAGCCAGATTTCGAGCGCGAAAATAAACATGTCATTCTAAAAGCTAGGAATAAATACAGCCAGAAGGTTCAAGAAATTGTATTGTACAAGAACATGAACTAAAGGTGATTGTTGACAAATTTATCGTCTGAAACATTTTGTTTATCAACTAAGCAACGACAATTTCCGAATTTTCGTTTGAGATACATTTCTTTAAAAAAAACTATGTCGCCAAATATAAAAAATTTTCGTGTTCACAATAATTAAACTATAGGATTTATTCTACAATTTGAATGGGTTAAGAAGCTTAACTTTTCGAGAGTTTTCTTAACTTTTTAGTTTGAATTTTTGTTTTGAATAATTTTGCAAAAATTTTCGAAGTCGTGTCCGTTAAAATCAACAATTTTTTACATGAATTATATTTCATTCCATACTTTAAATGCCAGGACGCTTTCAATTAATGTCTAGTCTACCCATTTGCTATATTTTCTCGTTTGTTTTACTAATTTTTGACCAATTAATAAGCATGTTTTTGTTTTAGAAATTGATATTCAAATTACCCGCCATATTTTCATAATTTGGTGCATGCGCAGACGTTTTTCCGCGGTGTTGTTGCTCCCCCACTGATGGAATGTTTTGATGCGCAGAATATATGCGCAGAACGGACTTTACCGCATCTTTAAAAAACGGTCTCGGTAAAATTACAGTACATTCTCAGGTGTCCCAGCTGCCAGTACCATAGATATCTTATATACACTAGATAGCGCATCTCTTTTAGTAAAATTGGAGCCAAGAATATTCCAATAGATGGCGGCCATATTGGAGTTTCCCACTCGCTAATAAACGCTTAAAAACAACAATAACTTTCATCATTTGAACAGTTTGAAAATGTATTTGGAATAGGTTTAACTTAATGTTTAAGTTCCCTGTTTAAGAAATAGAAAACATACGAGATTTCTCATTTCATGGGAATATCCTGAGTCTGCAATCACGGCTTCAATTTTTGAATTGCAGAATAATTTGATGCACTATCTAGTGTTTATAAGATATCTATGGCCAGTACCTTTTACTGTACAATTATGGGGGATTTTTTAACAGTGGACCCAAAAGTGATGTTTTCCAAATTTTGAGTTTTTCTCTCCAATCGACCAAACCGGAGGTGAAGCTCCTCCTAGTAGGTTTACATCAGATGTTATTGTGCTTGCATTCTTACGAAGAAAGAAATAAACTATAAAAGTTTTACTGAGAATACCTTTCTTAATTTTTTTAACAGATTTCCGGTCTTTATTGTTCAAAACTTGGCAAAACTTTCCTAAATTTGTCTATTTTCTCTGGGGAAGTGCAATAATTTCCGGATATTTCGAAAATTCTAGCTGGCTTGATCGTGAGAATATGGTCCAACGGCCACAACTATTAATGATGCTTTATGTAATTAAAATATCGTTTAAGTGCGTGAAAAATGCGATTATAACTGTTTCAAACTAATTTGAATATTAGCTGGCACGATATTCCGGTAATTGACAATTACTTAACATTGTGAAATACCATGCATGCAACGGTCATATAAATAATTAATAAGTTTTTAGACGTTCTCTGGTTTTTAAATATTTATTATTACGAGCTTTCGACTGCCAGTCTGCAGTCTTCAACGGGTGGATTACATTGTAATAATCCTGGTTCCGCTTCAAACATATTTAAAGGTCATATAATCTATTTTTGATATGATTAATGATTATAGACCTATATAGAGAGTTGACGATCTGCATCTATTCTTTCTTTGCAATGACGTAATTTTGGGATTTCAGTTGACGGGCAGGTATAACAAAAAACGGCTATTTTAATGTATTGATCGACTTTAGAGACAGTTTAAGACTCAAAACATGAATTACCGTTGAGTTTTGTTGCTACAACCATTCTGATAGGTGAAAAATCGTCCACAAGTTGTTTGATTGCCCGTCATTT